ACTTCGAACGACGTATTCATTAAAATGCAATAACCGAAACGAGAGATGTAAGATGCTTATCTGGCTACTGCGTTTCTTGCCACGCGTAATGTATGCAGCAGGAAAGAGTCACGTATAAATAACACAAATAAAATGGTGAGCGATTCCAAATCAAACAATCGATGATTTGAAATTTCAAATTAATTTAATTTCGAATTTTTCAAATTTGGAATATAGAACGGATCAAATCTAATGAAATTTAATTAAAATTTAAACAAATTTGCACACCAATACAGCGGACATTGTAATGCTAATTAAAAACGATTTTAGTGTAGCATTATGAAAAGATAGCACAAAATTGAATCTTAAAAGAATATATAAATCTCAAGAAGCTACCTAAAATAAAAGACTATTTTTTACAATACGTTATACGATCACCGTAATGACAGATGAACCAAATAATTACTTTTTAATATACTTTATATGTTTGTTTCAAAAGTACACATAAAATCCTAATAAAAAATCACCAATAGTGCCTATCCATACGTTAAGGAATAAACGCTGTTAAAAATAAACTCTAAAAACTCCGCACTGAAGCCGATTTCTGATGAATTTAATCTCTTTTTATTTTTACTTTCTATGACATATCTTTTAAGAGTTTTAAGCATATATTGCAAGCTTTTTAAAATATAATAAATGTCAAAATGGGTCTTATTTAGTCCTGAACCTTATTCGGCTCAGATATCTTATATTTAGATATGTTATCGCGTTTCCGGTATCTATTTTAACTTTGTAAGTCTAAAGCAATGGCGTAACTATCAGAAAGCAGACGGGATTGCGTCTCTGGGGTTGTTAAGGTCTTTGAAATTTAATTTTATTGTCAATTACATTATCTATTATCATTTGCCTTGATATTCTATAAGTTTTACTAATAGAGCTCTATATCGAAAGATATAATTAAATAACACAAACCCAGTGAGAAATGATAATGAAATCGATGTCGAATCAATGTCGATTCCATTATCACTTCTCACTGAGAAAAATAATAACGCCTATTTTAGCAACTTTGATTGTTATGTTTTTTTTGAAAAACTTAACATGATATGTCATTTTTACGGACTGTTAAAACAATTTATCAGAAACGACTTGATAAAACTTAATCCTAGCTATATACACATTTTTTTTACTCTTGATGTACACACTTGGATTCCTGGGATTCACATTGTAGATTACAATTTTTGTGCGCAAACGAACTGTTAGCAAAAGTGTAGGTTAAACGATACTGTAGGCAATCGATCTATAAACAAATGGGATTCTCCCCAAATTTTGAAGTTACGCCACTGAGTCTAAAGCATATATATCATATTTCAATTCCTGTAGAAGAATTATATCAGGTTTGCTCGCGATTCGTGATGGTAAATCTCAGTTACAATTGCAATACTGTTTGTTGCAGTCCTTGTAGAAGATACATCAGAAATAACTTAAAGTTTGCATCTTTTGAAAACAATATTATAAAAAATGGTAAGCAACATTTTTACATAATTGTTAGTTTTAATTATTAGTATTAATAATTTAGAAGAAACTACGGTAATATCATATATGTCTCATAAGAAAATATAAGAAAATATACAACTATGAAATCTATAATTATGGAATTATTTCCGATTATTATAATTTTATTACATAAATTATACAGTTATAATTTTGTTTCATATTTATTTTTTTACTAAAAAATTTTAATTAGTTTAATTTTTAATTTATTACAATTTTAATTTTAATTGTTATTGGAAATAAAAATTCAATGATAAACTTCTTCAATAAATCTGCTGAAATAATTCTATATACTACATATGTGTATATCCAATAATTTTATATACTACATATGTGTATATCCAATTTTTCTAACTGCGCGTCAAATTTATTTTCAGTCTTAAAACACAATTAATAGAACTAGAATAGTAATATCATCAATTAAATTGATAAGGCATTTAATTATATTAATGCTCATACGGCATCTTAAATTAATCTAAAATCTGTAAATAATTTAATATTACCAAAAATATTATCGGTCGGAGATCGAATCCGGAGCTCTTGCATTCCGTGCGAGTGTCCTAAACCTTTAATTATTTCAGCACTAAAGATCCAGCTTGATCATTTAGGACCTCTTATTTCCAATTTGTTGTGTAGTCACATTATCTTACCAGACTTTGTATTATTTATTATATTACATTTAAATCACAAACCATCTTTTTATAATCTTAAAACAAATATTTTCTTTATTTATAGAAATCGACCATTGCTAAGTTTGTCTTCATAATCATCACCTTCATTTGTTGGTCTACATTAACAAGAGCAAACTACTTTACCATAGAAAATTATATGGATCAATCGCTTCAATCTTTATGTAATGATAATGTGTCTCTAAACTTCTCGAATGCAGTGATCTCTGAAATCAATCAGAATTTCATCAGCAGCCCTGTGATTACCTGCCTCAATCTCATGGACAATAGTATTGAGAAAATTGAAAAAGGTGCCTTCAAAAAATTACCAAATTTAACTCAATTATTTCTTTCGAACAATAAATTGAACAGCGAAAATAAACTAAATCTTAACTTTGGAAGTCATGATAAGTTACAAATGCTTATTATAAATAATGTAAACAGATACAGCTATTCTAGACATACATTCTTTCAACAAAACAGATTTTCCATACAGATTTTCGATGAATATCCTAACTTAGAAATTTTGTCTCTACGTGAAAATTATGCCGTCGATTTAAAGTTTGTACAAGAAACTCCAGGATACCGTTTTGGTTATACGACGCCAAGGAGTTCACAAAACTGGATGCCATTCCCCAAGTTAAAGATCTTAGATCTCTCCGGAAACATCATAACAACTACCAGTTTTATACGACTACTGTCGAACAGCTTATACTTTCTTGATCTTCATAACAATTCGCTTAGTAACTTAAATTTAAACAGAAAAGGAAACAAATTGTTCGCACTGAATTTGGATGAAAATAAGTTTAACAATATTCGACACTACGGGAACAGTTTATCGATGATTGGTCTGAAGAATCTACACTATCTTTCTGTTTCTGGAAACAACATTAATACTATCGAATCAGATGCTTTTCAAGACAATAACGAATTGCTTTTTTTGAATTTATCCTCAAATCACATACATGATCTATATTCAACAACATTTGAAAATTTGCAATATTTAGAAACACTGGATCTAAGTATCAACCAACTCGAGAATGTTCCGCAACTCTCAAATGAAACAGAAATTAGCACTTTATACATTAATAGCAACAACATAAAGAAAATAATCTCGCATACTTTCGTGCGTATGCCGAAATTGATGAAATTGTTAATGAGAGAAAATCAGATTGACGAAATTGATGTTAATGCGTTCGCACATCTTAATCTCCTAAAAGAATTAGATTTGTCAGGAAATATGTTAAGTTCTTTACCGAAAGGGTGGACGGAATCCCTTGTATCTTTAAAATATTTGGGTTTAAGTGAAAATAAATTCACTTCGCTGGAGTCTTTGTCACTAACGAATACGTGGCCATCGATAGATGTATTATATTTAATGAAAAATCCATTAGAATGTCTGAATGTTAAATATTTTGAGAATTTACCGCAAAATCTTGTTATTGACTTGATAAATAATTCAAATTTTACAAAAAAATGGATACAAGATACGAGTACACCAAATACACTGATGGAAGATATTGAAATTTAACGCGTTTCATAAGTCCCGTATGTCCAATCAAATTTATGTGTTAATTTAACATTAGAATATGTTTTAGAAGGTAACACAAACATTATTTAAAAAAATAAACAAAATAAAAAAGATAATACTGACACAGTTTGTAAACAAACAGTGGGGATATATCTTTTTCAATAAAATTAACATTTATGATATGCTAAATTAACACATATTTTATTCATGTATCTTAGAATTTATGTTTTGAAACACATTTTTATATTACTTGTTCACTTACTCATAAATTGTATTATTTTGACATTAAGAAATATTGAATATCGATTTAACACAAACTATTTAAATTTTAAATATGTCACATTATGTTAAATTAAATCATTAACTATATAATAATATACCAATAAGAGCCGACACAAGACTTTATGTGTTTATATAAATTTTATTCAGTAAAGATCACTAGACTATATATCGCAATATCACAATCACATATGTTTTGATCTTTAATTTGGATCTTCTTCAGTGCATCTAATGTTTAAGGATAATAATAAAATATGTGTACATTTCATCAAAAGACGTGTTTCTCATTTCTATGACTTCCTACGCCATGTAGTCCTCATTAAATTGCCATATTTTCTGTATAATATTATATTGTATAAATAATTATATATAAAATTTATAGTGATTATGAACTTACTTATAAGTATACTACATTAGAGGTAATTTACATCAAAAGTTACTTTGTTATTTATTTAAAATAAGACCGTTTGAAAGTTATAAACAGTTGTAATGGAACATGAAATAGAAAACAATAGATTTTACGTTGCGCAAAATATGGAAATTTACATTTCATGTATGGAAAGATTGAATGTGTTTATCGTGTGAATATTAACATCTTACTTATTATCTTTAAATTCAGTATCATTTTGATCTGTGTGTAAATATATGATATCCGTTCAGCTCTAAGACAACAACTGCACTCAAAAAGATTATATTATAGCTGTTTTTATTGTCGTAAAATAGTAATTGCCGTCAAAATGTCAATGTTTTTACTCATATGCAAAAAAAACTTGTCCATTAAGTTTTTTTTCACAAATTTTTAATATATTCAAATAGCAATAATTCATTGAAAAATCATCGTAGCGAGATATTTAAAAAAGCCTTTTAAATATCTCGCTACGATGATTTTTCAATGAATTATTGCTGTTTGAATATATTAAAAATTTGTTTCCATTTTGAAATCTCTACTTTCGAAATCGATGATTGATATTTCAATATGACTGATCTTTTATGGAGCTATACGGATACAAATGGATATCCGTCAAATGTGAAAATTTTGTACAAATTTTACAAAGGTCTATGGCGTGAAGTGAAATTCATACAAAAATGCGGTTTACATCAATCGAAAGAGTGAATCTTTACCTTCAATTTGCTTTTTTATAGATCTCTGTACGATTTTTTTTTTACTGAGTTATTCAACATTGAAAAAAGGTCATTTTTGCTTCAACGTTGAATGACTCGGTGAAAAAAAATCATACAAAGGTCTGTAAAACAGCAATTAAAGGTAAAAATTCATTCTTTCGAAAGCTGTAAATCCCATTTGTGCGTAATTTTTAATTGGCGCCGTAAAACTTTGCAAATTTGATAAAAAATTTTGAGAATTTATGCATCTTCATTTATGTTTGTGTAATTTCATATAATATCAGTACGACCGTTTTTTGAAGTACCGATCTGGAAAGTAGAGATTTCAATCTTTAAAAGGCTTTTTCAAACATTTTGCTACGATAATTTTTCACTGAGTTATTGCTATTTGAAATTATTAAAAATTTATGAAAAAACTTAGTGGTCAGGTTTCTTTGGGTATGAGGAGTGTGAGTGCGCATGTGTGTGTGTGTATTTATTAATGTATTTACATTAGACGTGATATTGATCAAGAAAAATCGTAAGGAAATAAAAAAAACATTTTGTATAGGTAAAACTCTATACTTTTATATAAAATTATATCAAATTTTTTTAAAACGTACCTTTTATCAAGCTGCAGCCTGTTGAATGTACATAATTTTAAGTGTCATATATAATAATATGGTTTTTAAATAATTTTAAAATACGGAATCATAAACATAAAAATTTTTTGAAAAACAGCCAAAAGCACAAGTTACAAATTTCAAGCTTTAAAAATGTTTTTTTTTATTTTTGTCTGCGATAACTTTTCACCGAGTTTTTGATGATTCGATATTTGTGTAATTCTGAACGCTTTGAAAGTGTTCTCTGTTGAATATTTTACGTTACATATTACTTGTGTAAGCTATTAAACAATTCTTAAGAATGCCTGCAATAATACATTCGATACTGCACTACAAACATAAACACATTGTTATAAAATATATTTTAATATGAGAGTATGTTTCAGCAAAATAAATACTTTACAATCTGATAGATCCGATATCGGATGTTCTCTTTTTGTCTATTAAACTACTACTTTGTCTATTAATGTATCTGAAAATGTGATCAATGATATGTAATTCAAAATGAAATGAACTATATGTTCGTAGCTATAATAAAATGTCAAATTAATTATATATAGAAATAAATATGATTTAATTTCTCTTCGAAACAAGAAAATAGCTTTTGATATATTTTATCTATTCTATCGATTGTAAAATATTAGATCTGTTTTCTGTAGCTGAACTAGTGTATGGTTTTGGAATCTAAATTGGGATGGGTACGTTTGATATTTGACGAAAGCAAAATTAGAGAAAGTTTTAGTGCAATGTAGTACAGGAATAAAAAAAGAATCTGTTATTGAATAATATTTAAGTATAACTTGCCTTCATTCTTTATTTTCTCGCTTCTAATGTCACATTTCGGATAACAATAGTGGAGCATTAAATGTTAGAATGGATAACTTTGCATTAAAATAATTGAAAGAGAGAGAGAGAGAGCGAGAGAGAGAGAGAGAGAGAGAGAGAGTGTGTGTCGATTTAATTTAATTAATGTTAAACAAAAACGATATTTTGTGTTGGAATAATTTGACATAAACACACCATTTAAGAATAATTCTTTGAAACCAATGAAAAATGTCAACTTTTAAGAAAATTTGCATTTTTTTTCCTTTTAAAATTAGAACTAGAGGGTTCTTTTGTCTAGAGGATTCTTTTCAAATATGGATACACAAGTTTGTTTTAGTTTTCCAAATGCTTTTGAACCCTTTTTCGTGCAATTTGATCAAATTTGAATAAAAATTGTAATTATATTTTATACTTTTCCTATAAAATGCTTAGAATATTCCTTATACGGTGTCATGATTGAAAAGTATATTTTTTACTCTTAAATACAATCAAAACTGCGCATATTTATTAGAGAATACAATATAAATGTTTCACATTTATTTATTTAAAAACTTCGGTACATAAAATTTACTATATTTTTTATTTGAATTGATTTTTTGTAACTAACATAATACATCAACTTTTCATTTTACTTGGATACAGTACCTATACGTACATTCCGGTTCCTCCGGCTGGTCTGGATCACCCAGTATATATATGTTTGATTTATTTATTGTCCAGTAAAACTGTTTATGACCGTAACCATCGATGATAATTTTAACTTTCTTTTTTCTGTTATGTAATATTGCATAACTAGTATTCTCGGAAAAGATGCTCATTGCCGGATGTTTATACGAAAGAGGGAAATTATATCAGGCTTGCCCCACACATTTAAATTTGCTCGATCACGACTCGTGATCCCACAATCAATTACAGTTAGCATAACTGTTCATCGCAGTATTCAAAATATAAGAGAGAGAAGAAGAGTTCTTGCAGAAGGTATACCAGAAATAACTTAAAATTCGCAGAGAACTATAAAAAATGGTAAGCTACATTTTTATTAGAACCGTATAATTTAATGTGAATACACAGTAATAGCAATGCCTATACCAATCGAAGCTGAATTTTGATTGCTTTAAATAATTTCATGTGAATTTATATATCACATTTGTAATCTATTGAATTGCTTGATAAATTCGTTTTCCAGACTTAGAAATGCAACTGAAACAGTAATATTACACAAACCAAATTGATTAATAATAACAATTTAATAATCTGATGCTCAATTGGCATCATTTTAAGATCCTCTCTAATGTATTGAAAATCTGTAAATAAATTTATTACAAACATATTACTTCGGCCGGGAGTCAAACCTGGAGCTCTAATATTCCATGCAAGTGTCCTAAACCTTTAGACTCAATTAACTGTCTAAAGACTAGTATAGGCATTGTTTATTATGTATTTATATTTTTATATAATTTTAGGAGAAATTACAATAACTAATAAATTTTATATATTTCATACAAAAAAATCTACAACTATATGGAATAATTATGAGACTATGTTTTCCATTATTATAATTATACTGTTCAAAATTTAAACTGTTTTTCCAGACCATGAACAGGACTAAGTAATTTTTATAGATTTTTGATCGCTAAAAATGAATCCATAAATAAAATTGCTCTATTACGTCAGATTTTTGAGAAAATTAATTCTATGGCCCACAGAAGTTTCGCAATTCATAATTAACTCTTAATCGAGAATCAATTTTTATTCATTATCTCTTTCCAATTCTAGCATTAGAAAGAGATGAAGAATAATTAAACGTCGGTTAAGAATTAACTCATTTAAGCCCAACTGGGCTTAAATGAGTCAAAAATGGTATTCTGCGTTCTTTTGAGCAAACGACATAATGGAGCAATTTCATTTAGGGACTCATTTTTTCTATAAAAAATCTATGAGTTTTTATTGACAGCTTTATGCAAGAAACAATAGTTACACTGAAAAGTTAAGGGAATCCATAGATATATACCCAGACAGTACATAATATTTATAAAATCTTTACGAAATATTTATAAATATTATATTTATAAGGCTTATTGTAAATATTTTTGTGGTCTTAGATTGCATAGATCATTATAAACGTTTATTATAAATATTATGAACCAGTTATTATAAATTTTGTAGTAAATGATATAGAAATACTTAATAAGACAATATAATTCGAGTAAAAAATACTTAACAAGAATATTTATTTGTACTTATCATAAATACTACATTAAATATTTTGTTTGTATATCGGCACAACTAATTTTCGTATTTACACCGTATTTTTGCGTGAGCGTTTAATAATTATTTCCATAATACAGCCACGAGGATCACAAATTGTTTATTAAGCGTTTATTAGTTTTGCATATAATAGTATATTATATAGATGTATGTCATAACAGAAATAATACGTCTAAAGTACAGTACGCATCTCATTCATGTCGTGCTGATTTTGATATCAGGGTCACGTATCCCGACCAGCGATAACCGCTTAAGGCAGTTTATTTATTTATCATAAATATTCTATGCTGTCAGGGTCCTTTAAGAACTGCTTATGCAATTTGAATCACCTGCATGTAATGATTTGTGAGATCGCTCATTATGAATCTAAAATCAAAATTATCAAATACAATTTATTTAAACAATTAACAAAAGTTTGATTTGAATGAAAATGATAGTACTATTGGATTCTATGGAAGAAAATGCATAAAATCATTATAGTGCATTACAATATTTTTCTGCCTCCCATTTGTTATAAACAAAAAAATACAAATCAACAGGTGATTATTTAAATTGCATAGGCAAAGTGTTACATTTCTATCTACAGATTTAAGTTTTCTCCTTTTTATGTAATTATAGCTTCTTGAATAAAGCAGTCAGTAAAATAAGTGACTATTATAGATTTTTTTGTTAAAAACGAATTTATAAATGAAATTACTCTATCACAGTTACATTTTTTAGATATTTTAATTCAAATATGCCATTTTTGATATTTTTAGGTTCCATTTTCTCGAAAATCTGACATGATAGAATAATTTTTAGAGTTTTAGAATTTGTGTTCTGCAATAAAAAAAATTGTAAGAATAACTTAGTTCCATTCGTGGTTTAAAATCCGTGTCGGACAGTGTTATTTTTATTAATACAGTTATAATTTTGTTTTATATTTTATTGATAATATATAAAGGCCTTAAATGGTCAAGTTGAAACTTGAGTGTTGAAATAATTCTGTGTAAATTTATATATAGAGGAAAGCCCTCTATGAGATAAGCGCCTAATATGAGATAATAGCGTTTTTGCTAAACTAGTAAACACTATCTATTGGTTCCATCATGAATTTATTGCTCTTGGATTGAAAATTATTTAGTGAGAAATTCATTATTAGATCATGCCCGTAGCCATTGTAAAAAAGATTTTAGAATTTGGGTATTTTCAAATTTCATCAAGATGAGCCTTTAAACCTTGATTATTATTTAATAAGTAAATATGTGATTGTATATGTTGTGATCGATATGTTGATTTTTCAAGGCATCTCACATTAGGAGCACAATTTTTTGACTTTGCGATTTGCTCACTTTTTACATTTCTTTAATTTAAAAAAAAAGAATTTTAATTAAATTTTACATTTAAATAACATTATCTTATATATAATATAAAGCTTATAAAATTCCTTGCAAAATGACCTATTATTCTTTCAAATTCTGCCCATAAATTTCTAGCATCTATTCAAAATAAACTCGCGGTATCTCATAATAATCCTTTCCTTACAATTCCACAAACCGGGCAACAAATTTATTTTTAGTCTTGAAACGCAACTTTTACTCAGAACTAAAGTAGTAATATCACCAATTAAATTAACAACAATTTAATTATATTAATGCTCATAAAATATCTTAGACTTAATGTTCTGATACTGATAAGCATCCTAAAATAAACTGTAAATAACTCTATATATTTGAAAAACATCCTTGGACGGGGATTAAATCCGAATCTCTTGCATTCTGTGAGAGCATCTTAAACCTTTAGACACAGAATTGTTTCAACACTAAAGACCAGCTTGATTGTGTAGGGCTTTATTTACAATTTGTTGCGTAGTCACATTATAGTCTTATAAGATACTCTGTATTGTTTAATTTATTATGTTATATTTAAATCACAAGCTATTTTTTTACAATTTTAAACAAAATGTGTTCTATATTTACAGAAATTAACCACCGCAAAGATTGCCTTTATAATCATCACTTTCTCTTATTGGTCTACTAGTACATTATCAACAGCGAATGATGATTATTTTGCTATAGAAAACTATATGTACGAGTCGCTTCAATCTCTATGTAATGATGAGATTTCTTTAAACTTCTCAAACGCTGTGATCTCTGAAATTAAGCGGGATTTTATCAGCAGCCCTGTGATTACCTGCCTCAATCTTATGAATAATAATATTGAGAAAATTGGGAGAGGTGCCTTCGAAAAATTATCAAATTTAACTCAATTATTTCTTTCAAACAATAGATTGCACAATAATGAACTTTTTAACTTTGGAGGTCATGATAAGTTACAAGTACTTATAATGAATTATGCAACAAGATGTGACTTCCATTCTACATGTTTTGATAAAAATAAAATACAGATTTTCGGCAAATATCCTAACTTAGAAATTTTATCTCTAAGTCAAAATTATTTCGACGATTTAACGTTTGACCAAAAAAGTCCATTTATGGAATTCCATTTGACGACGCTGACGACTTCGCAAAACTGGATACCATTCCCCAAGTTAAAAATCCTGGATCTTTCAGAAAATGACATATTAGGAACCAATTTTGTACAGCTGCTATCAAACAACTTATACTTTCTTGATCTTCATGGCAATTCGCTTAGAAAATTGAACTTAAACCAAAAAGGAAACAAATTGTTCGCACTGAATTTGGATAAAAATAAGTTTGACAATATTCGACACTACGGGTACAGTAAGACTTTATCGATGATTGGTCTGAAGAATCTACACTATCTTTCTGTTTCTGGAAACAACATTCAAATTATCGAATCAGATGCTTTTCAAGGCAATAACGAATTGCTTTTTTTGAATTTATCCTCAAATCACATACATTATCTACATTCAACAACATTTGCAAATTTGCAATATTTAGAAACACTAGATCTAAGTATCAATCAACTCGAAGATGTTCCGGAAATCTCAGATAAAACAGAAATTAGCACTTTATACGTTAATAACAACAACATAAAGAAAATAACATCGCATACTTTCGTGCATATGCCAAAATTGATGAAATTGTTAATGAGAGAAAATCAGATTGACGAAGTTGATGTTAATGCGTTCGCTCATCTTACTCTTCTAGAAGAATTAGATTTGTCGAGGAATATGTTAAGTTCTTTGTCAGAAGGGTGGACAGAATCCCTTGTATCTTTGAAATATTTGGATTTAAGCTATAATAAATTCACTTCGCTGGAGTCTTTGTCACTGACAAATACGTTGCCATTGATAACAGTATATTTAGTGAACAATTCATTAGAATATCTTAATGTTAAATATTTTGAGAATTTACCACAAAATCTTACTATTGACTTGATACATTAATTTAAATTTTACAAAATATTTGAGATACGAGTATCCCGAGTACCCCGATAGAAGATAACTGATTTTGAAATTTAACACATTTCACATGTCCCAAATGTCAACTCAAATTTATATGTTAATTTAACTTAAGATAAATATGTTAGAAGGTATATATATATATA